ACCCCTGGACTAGACCTTTCTTGGTTGCTGCATTTGTACCAAATCATAATTAAAGTCACCTGTCACATCACATCCTTTAACGAATTTACCTGATTACAACTTTTCCTGCCACAACTGTTTAAACAAAGTGTTTATTTAAAAAAAAAAAAAAAGAAACATAAAAATCACGAGGAACATGTTAAATAGTGTTTGTTGTGTTGTCTGCAACGAAATGCGAGTCAAAAGTAAATTTGTAAATCACTACTTTGTCTCGGGTATCAAATAAGTCTGACTACAATTTGTGCCACTAACAATAATCGTGTGACGTCTATGATGCACATCGACTGTGAACCTTCATATGCTCAATAAGGTTTTGTTTCCAAATGAAGCTCTTCCCACACTGAGGGCAACTGTGCGGCTTTACTCCAGAGTGGATCTTCAAATGGTCTGTAAGGCTTTGCTTCCAAGTGAAACTCTTTCCACAGTATTGACAGCTGTACAGCTTTTCTCCAGTGTGAGCATTCATGTGGTTTTTAAGGTTTTGTTTCCAAATGAAACTCTTCCCACACTGTTGGCAAACGTAAGGCCTTTCTTTAGTGTGATTTCTCATATGATTTCTATAAGATTGTGTCCAAGTGAAACTTTTTCCACACTGTTGACAACTGTGAGGCTTTTCTCCAGTGTGAATCCTCATGTGCTGTGTAAGGTATTGTTTCCAAGTGAAACTCTTTCCACACTGATGGCAAGTGTGAGGTTTTCCCCCAGTGTGAACCTCCATGTGGTTTGTAAGGCTTTGTTTACTAATGAAACTCTTTTCACAGTACAGGCAGGCGTGGGGCTTTTCTCCAGTGTGAATCATCATATGCATCGTAAGGTTTTGTTTCCAAGTGAAACTCTTTCCACACTGACTGCAAGTGTAGGGTTTTGCTCCAGTATGAACTCTCATGTGTTTTGTAAAGGATTGTTTCCTAGTGAAACTCTTTCCACACTCATGGCATGTATTAGATTCAGTCTTCTGTGCTGTTCTTTCTGAAGAGGTTTTCCTCTGTTCTCGTTCTTCAGGTATTTTCTTATGTTGGTGTTTCTCTTCAATTTCATTCTGATCTTGACTCTCCTTTTTGAGTGGCATCAGGTCTACAGTGGGGAAAAACGAGAAATACAAGGGTGTAAATCAGGTAATAATATACCGTTTTTCAATTAAAGTAGATTTGTATGTATTTTGGTCAAATGTTGCCGTATCCATTGTACTGTACTACGCTGTGGGTAACACTTTGCATGAAGCCTTTATAAAATGCTTATGTGGAGTTACAAATTTATAAAATCTCGGTTAAAACCTAATAGTATACAACTACAAATGTTATTCACATTGTTTTACATTTTGAAGTAAAGACGAAGGCATTCTAAGAAAGACCAGGGGCCTCATGTATCAACGCTGCGTACGCACAAAAACTTTGCGTACGCCAGGTTTCACGCTCAGAATCGCTCACAATTGGATTTACTAACGATGAACTGAACGTGGGAATGTGCGCAGCTCCACGCCAGCTTCATGGCAGGCGTACACACATTTTTTGTGTGTCTGTTTTATTTCCATTGGCAACTCCTAGAGGCAGGTGTGTTAAATTCCTCTCTACTAAGTGTCTGAGCCTTGCAATGGCAGCTGTATGAGACGGGTTCATCTAGCAGGTATATAAGGTTTCCATACCATACAGTTGACCAGCTAAACATTAAAGCACAATTTGCAGCGGTCGCCTGTTTTCCCAATGTAATCTGAGCGATCTACTGCACGCACATTGCTATAAAGACACTATCTGAAGATGAATTTGCATGCGTGAATCAGAAACATTTCCATTCAATAGATGTGCAAATAAAATATGATGCACACACTTACTAATGATTCATACTTGTGTTTCTCGAGATAAATAGTTGGCAAAATCTGATATGTAGCGGGAGAAAAAATAAGAAAGAGTTCATCAGACGCTGGATTCGAACCAAGTTCATCCTTGAACGTGTCAAAACATGATCACATGCGTCTTACGAGCTGCACCACTGATACTGTTTTGGGTACTGCAACATTTTACAGATATAAACCACACTATTTCTTCTTTTTAATGCACTCAGTGCGATGTTCAGACCCAACTGTCTTAACCGCATCAGCTAAACTCTCCCACTCTATTTTTTTCTTCAGCGTACGCAGTGTTTCATACATCTGAATTTTTTTCTGCGTACGCACATTTACAGCTTTGTGCGTACGCAATGTTTTAGTATGATTTCCATGCAAGTCTTAGTACATGAGGCCCCAGGTCTGGCAGCCCAAGTGTCTGAGACATTACCCTATTAACTATTTGTACTTCCTGACCATTGAGCAGGTTCCCAATGACAGCATCTTTGTCTCTCTGAAGTTCAGGGCAATACTGCCAGGCTGATTGGATTAGCAGCACCAATACATTTAAACTGGTACTGTTAGGCTGATGAGATCAGGGCTGAGAAAGTCCGACTCCTGTACATCTAATGCATGCTTTATTTAGATTTGTCTCCACCTCTATGTACCACAGACCCCTAAAATGAAGAGAATATTGTGCAACACTGCACTAGATACACTTCTGGATGACTGCAACAGATATCAAGTTCTCAATAAAGAATCCTGTTCAACCAGTCTCCTTCGCTTATGAGTTTACAACCATTTTGGTGCCTTGGCACCAGGACAGATCCACCCGATTTATACTTCAAGCTCATTGACTCCCAATTAAACATCATATACATTTTTAAATCCAACTGACAACCTACAAAGCCCTGAATGGCTTGGCTCCCCATTATTTGAATGAGCTCCTGGTGTATTACAGCCCCTCACGTCCACAATGCTCAAAATTGACTTTAGGCAGTAGATCCTTCCCATTCATATCTGACATCTAAACTTTGGAACTGCCTTCTTATAAGCGTTGAGGAGGCAGACACACTGTGAGTGTAAATCTAAGCTAGAGGCACAACTTTTAGCTTTAGCATTCACATAAAACACAAACACATAACTTTGGAAATCCAGATTCTCTAAAGCACAGGTGCTCAATCCTGTTGCTGGAGATCTGCCTTGCTGAGTTCAGCTCCAGCCCTGATCATATGGTAAAATAAAGAAATAAAGTGCGAGCAAACATCTATCAAACGGAGCAGTGGAACAGAGAAGCAAACAGTTTACAATGATGGAGATTGGTTTAAGGGCGCCGGCTGCTGGACATGACTGAATTAAAGCTGATTAATACCTCTGCGTCAAGCGTATGCATATGCTACGGCGCAGCCTCCACGTGGACGCATAGCCGTGGCTGTCGGTGTTGCTGACGCGCACCTCTCAAAAAACACGTCGCAACGACGATATATTATTATTATTTATTTTTTAATATTTATATACATTTTCCTAATCACAAAATTGTCTGCAACTTACTGGGAATTACCACCACAAAATCAGTCATTTTTATTAGCAAAATAACTACTGTATATATATATATATATATATATATATATATATATATAAACTAAACTAAGGGGTTTGTAGACTGTTGTCTTCATTTAACAAATATTTAAGAACATTGAAAGTAATTATACTGGGTGATTAATAAATAAAACTATACTGCAAAAGATCAGGAATTCATCACGTGAAAAAAGATCATGCAAAGATGTTTTATCAGCATTAATGACGTGTGGAGGCAAATCGAGGTGTATAAACAAACAAGTGAAGAGTCCATTTGAGGTTCTTAAACCTTACAATGTGTTTGTGTTATATATGTTTAAAAAGTGCATATACTAGTATTAGTTGTTTTAATACAGTGCATCTGTGTATTCACCGTGCAATGCAGCTTAGACTAGGGCGTAACATACACCACAGTCTCTCAGATGTAATAAACTCAGCAGGATCTCTAACAAACCAGTATCAGTACTCAGATCTGCCTGGCACTTCAGCTCGGATCGGTTCATCATGTGTAAAAGTTGAACAGTCTCCTAAACAGTGTTGATGGTAGTACTTTATGTTGATGCTCTATTAGAGTATTAGTAAACTCTCTGCTTCATATCTGCTCATTTTGCTCCTTCAACAGATATTTCACTGACTATAAGAAACTCTGCAAGTACATGTCAACTTACACCAACCCTAATCTAACAGTCTACTGATAATCTAATGAGAATGAGTTGGCATGTAGATGCAGTGTAACTTACATTCAACATGCAGACCATCAAAATAAAGTGTGACTGTTTAATCACACAAGTTGGTCGTCTGTGCCACGTTCTCTTCAGCGGATGTTAAATATGATGAATATGATGTCAGATAAAGCAGTTTACTGAGAAATATTGATCAGTGTCGAGCTGCAGATCTGAATGAGGATCAAATGTTGAGCTTTGAGGATGAAAACCAACCTGTTTGTTCCTCAGGATCTTCATGTTTGACTCTGAAAGCTTCTTCAGTCTCTTCATGTTTGACTGTGAATGTTTCTTCAATCTTGATGTCTTCACTCTCCTCTTTAATAAACGCCATCTTTATAATAATCTGCTGTTCTGTGGGTTTGGACAAGATGAAGAGCATCATTAACAGAGGAAAATGACTCAATCTCTGGCTTTGTCTCAGTTTAAAATAAAAGTCTCTTGTCCTCATGTCTGTTCTCCAGAGAATAAATTTGGTGTTGATGATGAACTGATTTATGATATAAAGACAGAAAATAAACGCAGCTTTACTGTTATTCAGATGTGGAAGAGGCAGAATAACGTTCATTAACGCTTAATAAAACATTACATTCATCAATATATTCAATAATAATGGCGTTACTGAATAAATCATTCAGCAGCTGTAATCTTGCCTGAACGGGACACATTTATATAATCGATAAAATGATTATAAACACAAACCTTTCTCGAGTAGATTTACAACAAACAGGAGCGCGGCGCCGCCTGATGACGTCACTGATAAGCAGAGATAAAAGTCCCGTGTCTAAAATCACAAAATACACGCTACTGATTTGCTGGAAAGATTAATAACCACTTAAAATAAAGGGTGCAAAATTCTGAAAAATTAACAATGTATCACATATATTTTTTTTATAATTCTTTTGTATCTCTGTATTAAAATGCTAATTTAATATAAAAATATTATATACAAGTATCAAGTATGTAAATTAGCATAAAATATACTGATAAAACATTTTTTGAGTGTGTATATATATATATATAAATATAAATGCCTGCATGAGTTTTCACTGGCATTTATGGATGTAACTACAAATTGTGGTACTTGACAAAGGTTTGCCAAAATAGTCTTGGGCCCCATGCGTTGATAAGGCCTACAGATGAATGAGGATTCCTGATGCAGTGCCCCCTGAGGGATCGGCGATCACAGTTGTTCAGTTTAGGCTTGCGCCCTTGTCCTTTACGCACTGAAACTCCCCCAGATTCCTCTTTTAATGATGTTCTGCACTGTTGAAGGTGAAATATCCACACGTCTTCCTCTCTTTCACAGAGGAACATTGTGATTAAACATTTCAATAACTTGACTGGCCAAACTAGCAAACCTCGGCCCATCTTTGTTCCTAAAGGGCTAGACCTTTCTTTGATGCTGCTCTTGTATCAAATCATATTTACACTCACCTGTTGACATCACCTGTTTCAAATCACATCATAACTAGTTTACCAGATTACTGCCCTAAACTGCTCCTGTCACAGCTGTTTCTGGAGTCTGTCGCAGGAACCAAATCATGAGGAACACATTAAATAACATTTTTTGTTTTGTCTACAATGAAATACGAGTCAAAGTAAATTCGTAAATCACTTTCTTTTTTATTTGCGTTTTCCATACTGTGCCAATCTTTTTCTGATTTGGGGTTGTAGATAAAATCTTGATGCTTCTCAAGTAACAAATATGTCCGACTACATTTTGCACCACAATCAATAATCATGTGACGTCTATGATGCACAATGTCATCATGAAGCTGCATAACACATCACAAATGTTTCTGTAATTGTCTACTGAGAGTTTTCTACAGGTGTCAGTTTCTGTCTGTATCTATTGTCTGAATGAAAACTCTAGATCAGTAGATTAATTCAGAGCTACCTCTCCTTAAAATGGCACCTTATCGTGTTGTAGGGGTTTTAGTGCCTGAATGATGTTAGAAGCGGTGTTGTCTGGGATTAAATGCCTCTGCTATTGTCTGCCAAGCCAAAGTGGTCCTAGGTAACAGGTCTAAGGGTGCTTTCACACCTGCCTTATTTAGTTGGATTGAATCGCACTAGAGTTCGTTTCCCTCTTGGTGCGGTTTGTTTGTGTAGGTGTGAATGCAGCAATCGTACTCGAGTGCGCACCAAAAGCGGACCAAATAAGCGTATCGAGACCTGCTTGAAGAGGTGGTCTCGGCACGCTTTCAAACGAATCCTGGAGCGGTTTGTTTGTGGTGAGAATATGATCCTTACTGAAACAGGTCCACTGCAAAAAGGACTGCGCCTTTTGGACTAATCCAGCTGCTGTACGCCGATGCGCTGTGCATTATGGGATATGGAGGAAACATATTTGTTGACAGCGCTTTACCAACAGAAAGAGAGAGAGGGGAAAACATTACCTGAAGCATCGTTGGTAATATTTCCGCAAGATGAGCATGTCGCAGTTTAGCTAAATTAATTCATGGCGCCTCCTGAAGTGACGAGCGATGCATTAAACACTGTTTTCCAGCCGCGGCCGCGCTTCATTTTCGTAATGTATAGTTTGTCTAAAGCAGGGATACTATCAGCCAGTGCAGTCGTCCCTCCAAAGTAAAAGGTTTTGTTTACCTGCGGGAGTTCACTGGCATTTTCCCGCACGTGAATTCTGACCAATCAATAAGCAGTTTAGGAACTATGTTCAACAACATCTGGCCAATGAGAGATGTGGATTTTGTCAGATGACTGCATTTTGGTTTGTTTCAACTGGTTCAGACCAAAGCCAGCAGTGTGGTGTGAAAACGACCCAAAGACGGCAGAAAATGCAACAATGTGTCATTTATTACCCTTGATCCGGACCAAATGAAGCGAACTACAGATGTGAACGCAGCCTAAGTGTAGTTAAAAAAACCCTTACAGCCTAATTGAAGACCAGTATGATGCAAACGGGGCCCCATGCTGGAGCCAGGCCAGAGTTAGGGCTCGAATGTGAATGATTTTAGGACTTTCCTCTGGTGTGAGTTATTACATGATTCCTGTATATGAAACTCAACACTGATGACTGAAAGATTTACTTTATACTCACAATTTCAAAACACATACCAGCTTATCTCCAGTGTGAATCTCTGCACGTTAAGTCCTTGCCACACAATCGACAGGTGTTTTATATATTATGAAGCATCACATGGGACTCAAAGGACTGTTTATATCTGAAACTCTGTCCTCTTAGCAGACTCTCGACTGTGAACCTTCATATGCTCAATAAGGGTTTTTTTCCAAGTGAAGCTCTTCCCACACTGAGGGCAACCGTGAAGCTTTTCTCCAGTGTGAATCCTTATATGCTCCGTAAGGTTTTGTCTCCGGGTGAAACTCTTTCCACACTCAAGGCAAGTGTAGGGCTTTACTCCAGTGTGAACCTTCATGTGGTTTTTAAGGTTTTGTTTGCATATGAAACTCTTTCCACAGTGTTGACAAGTGTACGGCCTTTCTCCAGTGTGATTTCTTATGTGGTTTGTAAACGTTTGTTTCCGAGTGTAACTCTTTCCACAGTGTTGGCAGGTGTAAAGCTTTTCCTCAGTGTGAATCCTCATGTGGTTTGTAAAGGATTGTTTCCTAGTGAAACTCTTTCCACACTGAGGGCAGGTATTAGATTCGGTCATCTGTGCTGTTGTTTCTGAAGACGTTCTTCTCTGTTCTGGTTCTTCTTCAGATATTTCCTCATATTGATCCTCCTCTTCAATCTCATCCTGATCTTGACTCTCCTCTTTGAGTTGCATCAGGTCTACAGTGGAGAATAAAGACGAATACATGGGTGTAAATCAGATAATAGCATTTTGGTAAAATGTTGCCGTATCCATTGTACTGTACTGTGCTGTGAGTAACACTTTGCATGACGCCTACATACACAATGCTTTTGTAGAATTAAATCGATAAACTCTAGATTAAAATGCAATAGTATACACCTGAAAATGTTAAACGCATTGTTTTCCATTTTGAAGTAAAGACAAAGACACTCTAATAAAGATCAGGATTAATAAACGAGAAGACAGTGGGTGTACTGCGAGCTGATTGGATGTAGTAAAGTAGGCGTGTCATTCAGAAGGATGGGGAAAAGGGTTTGGGAAGAGTTATTACAACCTAACAGACTCCTCCCCCTCACCATATCTGATGTAAAAACTGACAGCTGATTATGTGCGTTAGCCACGCCCAACTCCTCCTATCAGACCTGATCTGAGAATTTATCTGAACACAAACAGGAAGTGTTTATTGCAGACGAGGGCAAACTATTTGTTATTTTCTTAATGACATGCACAGATAAATTGTTCATTGCAAAACTAGCACTGAGAGCTAACCAGATCAATATGGTCAGTTTTGAGTTCATCTGTACGCAGCATTTTATCTTCTTTGCTTGTGGTTGAAGGTTTATTGAGCTTTTTTTTCTTATTTGTATAATTTACATGATTATATTAACTTGCTCCCCAGCGAGGCACAAATAAGATCAGTGTATTGTTTGTTCACTGGATTTTCATTACAGAAACAGATATTGAAAAAGAAAAACAAGACGTTTTTTATTTTCGTTTTAAAATTTAAAAACGAATATTGAAGTTTGAGGCGTTTTTTGATTTTGAATTTTAAAACGAAAATAAAAAAACGGCTCATTTTTCTTTTTCATGGTGAAAAACGGAAAAGCAAATTTCAAAAATGATTTTTTATTTCGAATAAAAACAATAAAATCACCAGAAAAGAAAAATAAATAAAGACTTGTTTTTTTTAATATTCTGAAACCAGATCGTCCAACTCATTTATGGTGATGTAATGCTGACCTGCTAGCTTGCTATACACTTGTATTTCCACTTAACACTGTAATAAAAGGTATTTTCTTGTGATAACAGGATTTTGTTAAGACATATTTTCCTCATTAAGATGACATTTCTCATATAAGGGCCGGTTTTAGGCTATATATTTATTTTTTGTTTGCATGTTTTAAATGAAACAACCTTTATTTTGACAATACATGCAAGCTATTCATTATTTCATATAGCCATCTGCAAATTGCAGCAGATTTCATTCATTCATTCATTCATTTTCTTGTCGGCTTAGTCCCTTTATTAATCCGGGGTCGCCACAGCGGAATGAACCGCCAACTTATCCAGCAACTTTTTATGCAGCGGATGCCCTTCCAGCTGCAACCCATCTCTGGGAAACATCCACACACACATTCACACACACACACACACTACAGACAATTTTAGCATACCCAATTCACCTGTACCGCATGTCTTTGAACTGTGGGGGAAACCGGAGCACCCGGAGGAAACCCACACGAAGGCAGGGAGAACATGCAAACTCCACACAGAAACGCCAACTGAGCCGAGGTTCGAACCAGCGACCTTCTTGCTGTGAGGCGAACGTGCTACTCACTGCGCCACTGCCTCGCCCATTGCAGCAGATTTTCAACACATAAATTGAAATTATGGTGACGCGGTGGCGCAGTAGGTAGTGCTTTCGCCTTACAGCAAGAAGGTTATATATATATAAAACACAAAGAGATGAGCAATGATTCCTAATGAATGTCCAATGTTACTGTCACTCCTGAAGTGAAAGTGATTTTAATAATAAACTTTTTTTGGGAAAACTGTTCTGCCATGCAAATAATGCATATCTCGTCGAATATGGTGTTCCTTATAACAGGCTTTAATGAGGAAAATATGTATTAATGAAATCTCATTATCACAAGAAAATGCCTTTTATAACATTATTAAGTGGGAAATAATAACAGCCTACAGTAGGCTAACCTGTGTGTGGCAGCAGCGTGAATGAGTCGGTCTATCTGGTTTTGGAATATAAAACAAGCCTTTATTCATTTTTGTGTCTAGTGACTTTATTTTTTGTTATTCTAAAAAAAAAAAAAAAAAAAATCAAATGATTTTGGAATTTTGCTTTTCCATTTTTCACCATGAAAAAGAAAAAAAGGGCTTTATTTTTGTTTTAATAATCAAAAGCGAATATCAAAAAACGCACTGTATTTCAATATTTGTTTTTAAATTTTAAAACAAAAATAAAAACTGGCGAAGCAGTGGCGCAGTAGGTAGTGCTGTTGCCTCACAGCAAGAAGGTCGCTGGTTCGAGCCTCGGCTCAGTTGGTGTTTCTGTGTGGAGTTTGCATGTTCTCCCTGTGTTCGCGTGGGTTTCCTCCAGGTGCTCCGGTTTCCCCCACAGTCCAAACACATGCGGTACAGGTGAATTGGGTAAGCTAAATTGACCGTAGTGTATGAGTGTGTGTGTGGATGTTTCCCAGAGATGGGTTGCAGGCTGGAAGGGCATGCGCTGCGTAAAAACTTGCTGGATGACTTGGCAGTTCATTCTGCTGTGGCAACCCCAGATTAATAAAGAGACTAGGCCGACAAGAAAATGAATGAATGAATGAATAAAAAAAAATGGCTCGTTTTTTAATATCCGTTTCTAAAATGAAATCCAGTGACCTAAAGATACACTGACCAAACGGCTTGATACGCTCTGGGTTTGATGAAGTTTCCATTTAAGTTTACAAAGTGTCATCCACTGTATCTGCACTGGTTAGACACGAAGAGCGAAACTCGTGCACACAGTTAAGCTTTAACATATCTGCACTAAACTTATTCCAACTAAAATCCTGACAGTCTTTGTCTAAACTCAGTTATCAGTGAATAAAAGCTAAGTTTATGTTTACTCTCTGACTTGAGATGTCTAAGTTAGCAATTTGTGCCAAGTTCTCTTCAGCGGATGTTAAATATGATGAATATGATGTCAGATAAAGCAGTTTACTGAGAAATATTGATCAGTGTAGAGCTGCAGACCTGAATGAGGATCAAATGTTGAGGTTTGAGGATGAAAACCAACCTGTTTGTTCCTCAGGATCTTCATGTTTGACTCTGAAAGCTTCTTCAGTCTCTTCATGTTTGACTGTGAATGTTTCTTCAATCTTGATGTCTTCACTCTCCTCTTTAATAAACGCCATCTTTATAATAATCTGCTGTTCTGTGGGTTTGGACAAGATGAAGAGCATCATTAACAGAGGAAAATGACTCAATCTCTGGCTTTGTCTCAGTTTAAAATAAAAGTCTTGTCCTCATCTCTGTTCTCCAGAGACTGATTTGGTGTTGATGATGAACTGATTTATGATATAAAGACAGAAAATAAACGCAGCTTTACTGTTATTCAGATGTGGAAGAGGCCGAATAACGTTCCTTAACGCTTAATAAAACATTACATTCATCAATATATTAAATAATAATGGCGTTACTGTATAAATCATTCAACAGCTGTAATCTTGCCTTAACGGGACACATTTATATAATCGATAAAATGTTTATAAACACAAACCTTTCTCGAGTAGATTCACAACAAACAGGAGCGCGGCGCTGCCTGATGACGTCACTGACAAGCCGAGATAAAAGTCCTGTGTCTAAAATCACAAAATACACGCCACTGATTGCTGGAAAAATTAATAACTATTAAGAGCGTGTGAGATTCTGGCTTATGATTTATACTACTATTATTATGTTTTTTTAGCTATTATGTTTAAATATTAAAATATTAATATCCAGAGGTATGCATTTTCTACATTTGTTGATCAGCAAATCACTTATTTTTAAAAGGTACACATAACACAAATAGTTATTCCTTAATCATTAATTTTCTTTTTTTCTTTTTCCTTTATTAATCTGGGGTCACCACAGTGGAATGAACCGCCAACTTTTACACAGCGAATGCTTTTCCAGCTGCAACCCATCACTGGGAAAATTATTTCATCATATTAAATGTAATTTTTAAATAAATTTGTAAGCTGTCATTTTAATGGAGAACATGGACGTCAAATAGAGTTTGTGTTCATGTTCATGTAAATAACATATCCTGTATTCCACTATTTAATAGGGCTGGGAGTCTTTAGGGACTTCATGACCCGATTTCAAAACAATTCCTAACCTACATTTTCCTTTTCCTTCTGTTGTACAGTTTCATCTTCACATTTTAACCAGAATTAGAGTTTCTATGCTTTTGCTGAATCATTGGAATATCTGCATGACAGTACGCACACCATTAAAAATTATATATACAGTTGAAGTCAGAATTGTTAGCCCCCTCTTTCTTAAATATTTCCTAAATGATGTTGAACAGATTCAGGAAATGTTCACAGTATGTCTGATATTATTTTTTCACCTGGAGAAAGTCTTATTTGTTTTATTTCGGCTAGAATAAAAGCAGTTTTTAATTTTTTAAACACCATTTATGGTCAATATTATTAGCCCCTTTAAGATATATATTTCGATAGTCTCCAGAACAAACCATCGTTATACAATAATTTAACCTAATTACCATAACCTGCCTAGTTACCCTAATTACCCTAGTGAAGCCTTTACATGTCACTTTAAGCTGTATAGAAGTGTCTTGAAGAATATCTAGTCTAATATTATTTACTGTCATCATGATGAAGAGAAAATAAATCAGTTATTAGAGATGAGTTATTAACACTGTTAAGATTAGAAATGTGTTGAAGAAATCTGCTCTTCGTTAAACAGAAATTGGGGAAAAAATAAACAGAGGGCTAATAATTCTGACTTCAACTATATATATATATATATATATATATATATATATATATATATATATATATATATATATATATATATATATATATATATATATATATATATATATATATATATATATATATATATATATATATATATATATATATATATATATATATATATATATATATATATATATATATATATATATATATATATATATATATATATATATATATATATATATATATATATATATATATATATATATATATATATATATATATATATATATATATATATATATATATATATATATATATATATATATATATATATATATATATATATATATATATATATATATATATATATATATATATATATATATATATATATATATATATATATATATATATATATATATATATATATATATATATATATATATATATATATATATATATATATAATTTTATATTTATATTTTTATATATATATATCACTATCATTATAATTGAACCATATGAATATATATATTTATAATAAGTTTAAAGTAAACATCAAAATTTGCATTATGCTATTAACATTACATTAGCTTA